CATAATTCATTCATCTGGGTGATTATGACGGAATTCTGTATTTGTTTTTTTTATTGTTTTGTGGCTTTCATCTGTGTATAGAATTAATTCACTCATCTTTGTGGAATGATGTAATTCACTAATCTTGTTGGGATATGACATAATGTCGACTCGAATCTGCGTGGATATGACGTAGTAACTTCATCTCGTGGATATGATGTAATTCATCATCTGCGCTGGAGTATGACGTAATTCTCTCAACTTTTGTGGATATGAGCGTAATTCATTCACTCCGTGTGCGATGATGACGGTCGTAATTCATTCGATCTCGTGGTGCGATATGACGTAATTCTCAGTCCGCCTGTGGAGTATGATGTTAAGTGTCACTCATCTCGTGGATCATGATGTAATTCACTCATCCTTGTGGATTATGACGATTAATTCACTCATCTGCGCTGGATTATGACGGTAAGCTCCAAATCATCTGCGCGTGGATTATGATGGTAATCAGTTGCATCTGCAGGATATGAGCGTAATTCGCTCAACTTTGTGGATATGATGCGTAATTCATTCCATCTGTGTGCCGATATGCACGTAAGTTCAAGCTCAGTCTTTGATGGCGTATGACGCTAATTCATCATCTGTGTGCGGGAAGTATGATGTAATTGTCACTCGCGTCCGGGTGGATATTGGATGTAATTCATTCGTTGTCGGTGGATATGCACATGATCGTTCACCTTGCTGTATATGGATGTGTAATTCATTCAATTGCGATGATGTGACGTAATTCATTCATCGAAGGTGGGATGTTATGATGTAAGTCATTACATCCATGTGGGTTATTGACGAATTCATTCATCCGTGTGGATATGACGTAATTCATTCATCCGTGTGGATATGACGTAATTCATTCATCCGTGTGGATATGACGTAATTCATTCATCTGTGTGGATATGACGTAATTCATTCATCTGTGTGGATATGACGTAATTCATTCATCTGTGTGGATATGACGTAATTCACTCATCTTTGTGGGTATGATGTAACTCACTCATCTGTGTGGATATGACGTAATTCATTCATCTGTGTGGATATGATGTAATTCACTTGTCTTTGTGGATATGATGTAATTCATTCATCTGTGTGGATATGACAT